AAAGTGCCAATGAAAAAGTGTTATTCGTTTTTTGATATCTTTTCAAATAAAGTCAGAAAAAAATAAAATTGATATTGTCAAATTCTCGTTTTTCCCAAATATCTCAGCAGGCCATGAAAATTCTTCAAGTTTCTAAACGGCATGTAAATAAGCTTTAAAGAACACAACTTTTTCCTAATTTAACCTAAGCTGTATCTCCAACAGGTACTGAGATTCCCATGCTTAGGATCCTTATCTTGGACACACTGTATATACAACTATTATTGCTTTACAGATAGTTGTGTCGTAAGTTTATCAACAATATTTCGGTATATAGCTTCACTATTGAGTGGTACCGAATCTCCGCGATATATCAAATTTAAAACTAATCTCCAACTTTCCAAGAGAGTGCAAACGAGACCCGCACTTAGCCGGTCTGAGAAAATACTCGTACACTGGAAAAACTGTTAAAAATTATTATTTTGAACTGACTCAGTGTTCAGCTGCACAAAATGTGCCTAACTTGATTTTCTAGAGAATTAGAATTAGTTATAATGAGACAGTAGCATTTTTTTATGTGTTTACTCCGAGACCTTTTGATTCATATGTAAGTACATTTTTCTTCAGTTATAATAATTCTTACAATAGCAAACATATTGTTATAATTTTTACTGAAATTGTTATATCAAGTACGCTATTTCTTGCTATCTTCTTCATAATCTGAGAGATGCAGCACTTCGATTTGAAATTTCAGTTTGTCTTCTTTGAACATTTTCCATTCTCTGGAATAATGCAGACTGAGTATGCCTGGGAAGTTCTCCTGAAATTAAAAATAAAATAGGTAACATTCTCCCTAGACTTGTTTACCATACATGTATATTTAATAATAGTTGAATATGGCATATAGTTGTTATATAAAAGATTACAATATTGGGAATGAAAGTTTTTGGCTTTCTACTACTCCATCTGATACAAAAAAAGGGATGAGAGAATCTTCCAAAGAAAGGAATTTTTGGTTTGTATAATTTTGTTATATAAATTAGCAGCATTTAATATCCGTCTATTTTCCATTGTGATCCATCCCGTAACTCATGGGATATTTTTTGATATTTCCCAATTCTGTGAATGAGCCGTAGACACGAGTTTTGTACTTTCTATATTTTCTGAGCATACTGTTTGGTTAAACATGAACCATATAAAGTATCCGAGTAATTGAAGCGCGATAAAATCAGTGCATCACAGAGAGGTGTTTTCGTTTGTTTCGTGAGTACGTCTCTGTGTCCATAAATGAGTTTCAACGAAGAATATGCAACTTGTCAATGTTTGTTTATATATTTCTCAAACCTCAAGTCAGAGTCGATTACAACTTCAAGATTTTTGCATTCATTTGTGGGTTGTAATGGAACATTATCAATCGTGATTGTAAGAGATTAACTTTTTTCTGGCGATTCTTTTTTGATCCAAAAAGGATGATATTCGATTTAGTGGCATTTACTAGTAGACAAAGGTGAAATTTACAGTGTTCTAGACTACGCAACATGTTTGATGAATAAATTGTGAACAATAGTGGACCCAATAGTGGACCCTGTGGCACACCTTGACTTGAGTTTTAGATAGTTTGAATGGATTCCACCCTGGCATACTTTTTGTTCCCTGTTTTTTGATGTAACATTTAAGAAGTCTGATAGCACTATCCGATAATCCCATATAGTTTAAAATGGCGAGAAGTAGATCATAGTTTAAAGTATCAAAAAGCTCGACTAAAACCAAGAAGCACAAGTACAGAACAAAGACCTTCATCTGTAGCCCTAATAATGTCGTCCAGGATGTGCAGCAGAGCAGTGGCGCAGCTATGGCATTCGATTTCATGTTACAGATAATTCTATTTATGGATAATTTATTTATTTCCTGGAAAGCAAAATCCGGTTCTACTCGATGGTTTTTATTGTAAAAAAATATTAGATCTTGAGGTGGCTGCATCAAACGAGAATTTCTCTATTTTATTATAATATGTATGTACATTGATTAAGGCTGCAGAAGGAAATTGTTTTGTAGTTTACATGATGGCTCAAAAAAATGTGACATATCGAAGATTTGTTTTTTTAAATGGAACACTCTGTATTGCGTTACACTTTTGGAAAATGCTAGGTACAATCGAAAACTAAGTAACATCGAAATGTGTAGAAATCATCACTTCAAATTCTGATCAAGCGTGAATGTCCAAAAATCATTGTTACTTTTTCATGATTTCGTTATTAGGAATAACTTTGTAATTATAATAACTTTGTAATATTTCCTAAATTTTTTTAGACTAATTTATTTCAGTCTAAACAATATAAAATTCAATTATCTTTCATTTCATTTTGGGGTTCCCCTAACCTAACCTAACCTAATAGTTTTTTATTTACTGCCTTTTTCAAATAGTAGTTCTTATTTCAAGGCATTCTTTGAATGAAGATAACTTTGAAATGACATTTATTCGACTTGTTGAAATAATTCTTATTGATGGTTATTGTGTTTTACGTTATTCAAGACATTCACTGAATTATTACGTTCAAAATGAAAACTTATCCCATTCAAGAGCGAATAGATATGATTTGAGCGATTGGTAAGTGTTTAGAAAATTGCCTTTTTGGCGTCGAGGGTGTATGCCCAAAAATCTCCAGACCGGAATCGGTGGTATAGTTCAAGTAAACGATATAGTGCAATCTACCTCCCAACAGCTCCCGTTCAATACAATAGTTAGAGAGCTAACTAATTTCGTTATTCAATAACCATTTCTGATTATATAAGAATCACAATATCTACATGGGAATGATCAGAATAAAACTCACATATATATACAATCGATCGCTTCAAAAACACTTCATTTCTTCGAAAGCTTCTGATAAAGCCTCTTCCATATTATTTGTTTCACTATCACTGTCTGCATTTAAATCAATAATGAATTCATTTCCACTATTAATGTGGAAGTGTCCAATTTCCATATAGTCTTTTTCAACTAAAATTACTTTTTCAATCCTTTTCTGCTAGTCTTCTTCGGTAATATTAGATAATTCTTCTTTAATTAGCTCTATTACCTTCTTATCAAATTTTTGAAAATTATTTTTACGCCTGATGCTTTGTTTCAATTTTCCTCAAATCAACTCGATGGGATTAAAAAACATGAAAATAGGGGGGGGGGAAGTCTCAGTATGGTGTTACTTTTCAGCAATACTCTCAAGGTCATACACATTTTCAAATGTTTCCGCCTGTAGTTGGTTTTTGGTAAAGTAATCTTCAAAATACAAATTGTTATCCATTAAAAAACTTTGTATTTCATCTTTCCTTGAATTTTTATTCGGTACTTTGATGAGCTGTCGCGAATGATAGAGAGTGTTGTCAAGAACTATTTCACTAGTCGCATCCATATTTGGGATCAATGTGTTTTCAAACCATTCCTCGAAAATATTAGCTTCCATGTTCTTATGATGGTCAACATTGCAGTCCTCAAGTTTTTTCCACATCATTTCAAAGAATTCGGAACCCATCCTTTACTTCCTCCACAATGCACAATGATTAGTCGCGATCCTTTGCAGGCATGTTAGGCGTACACATTCTCGAACCATCAGTCCATCCTTTCGTAACTGTGTCGTGAGTGTCATACCAAGTTTTGTTCAAACAGAAAATTTGCCGTTGTTCTTGTCTATATTTAGTTATCTGTTCTAAGTATTTGTTACGCAATTCCACTATTCTTCTACTTTCCATAACTGATTGACGTTTGTTTATTATTTTAAATCTAAATCTTAGTTTCTTTATCCAATTCTGAAGAGTTTTGTCACATCAGCTCACGTTATGGCCGGAAGTTTTCAATTTCTTTCTTATTATTTCAGTTGTAGGAATTTCATTGCTTTTGTAACAGTAGTATATTGTTTTCTTCAATGATTTTATTAGATGAACATCTAAAGGTTTTGGTAACCCAGAATCACATCGCATCTTGCGTTCAGAAGGTTTGTTTTGGACTATTTCACGTACAGTTGAGATAGGAATTTCGGTCAAATCTGATGTTGCTTGTAACAGTTTGTTTCACTCGAAACCAAACTTAAGATGTAGATTCTTATTTACGTTGAAACATACTATCTGTGTTTCAATATTCAAATGCATCCGAATCTTATTCACTAATGTCCCTTTTTCGCATTGTTTACTATCGCTATTGGAAAAAGTCTGCGTTGTTATCACACTCATTATTACTATAAGTACTTGTCCAAGGACGCCACATTTTGAACAGATAACAAGAATTTTAAGTAATTATAACTGCACCAATATCGAATTTCAACACTCAAATCGCGATCAGTTCCTGAACTGAACACGACGGCGATAACCAAGGCTGCATTCTCCGATTTCTATTCGTCATCGTAACATGACTTCAAATTTAATTTTATGACTTCAGCCAACCATAAAACTCGATTAGTAAAAATGATTCAATACGAACCGCCAAGTCTACAGTCCACGTGGACTAGTTTGCTGCCGATTCATTTCTATATATTGGATTTTTGGCCTTTGAGAGTGCCGACAAATTTAAGAGTGCACAATATCGTTTATTTTGGGAAAGAAAGAAGTATTTGTTTCGAAAGAATTTTTTCTTTCGTATAATTCAATGTTTATATGAAAGTAGCTGTTTCAGGAGGACTTTCTTTCAGTTTGTGTCTGAAAGTTACTTCTTTGCATGATCTACACATCCATGTACATTACTTTCAAATTGATTAATCCTTCCTTTCTTTGGAAGATTCTCTCATCCATTTTTTTTGTATCAGATGGAGTAGTAGAAAGCCAAAAACTTTCTTTCCCAAAAAATTAATCACTCCTAAAAATATAACCCTTTCAAATCAAATAAGATTCCTCATGGCTGGGATTAAATCAAATAGGTGAATGAATGTCATTACGATGTCATCGATGACATAAACAAATCAAGCTTATTCCGTGACAATTCAAAATCGTAATTCATGAATGAAGTGTGTGTATTTTCTATAATGTTATCCAATTTGGTACTGAAGAGCCTTAGGGCAAGTGTCTTAAGGCGAAACACGTGTATACCAGTTAGGGTGACAGTGTTCCATGTGAGTACAATTTATTACCATTCCTTCAAAGTAGAACTCATGTTAATGATATCTGATTCTTATTCCTCCACGAATGTTCGATATACAAACTGAATAGAGAAAAGTATCTTCTGTATAATTCAGTGTTCATATAGAAGTATTTGTTTCGAAAGAATTTTTTCTTTCGTGTAATTCAATGTTTATATGAAAGTAGCTGTTTCAGGAGGACTTTCTTTCAGTTTGTGTCTGAAAGTTACTTCTTTGCATGATCTACACATCCATGTACATTACTTTTTACTTTCAAATTGATAATTCCTTCCTTTCTTTGGAAGATTCTCTCATCCATTTTTTTTGTATCAGATGGAGTAGTAGAAAGCCAAAAACTTTCTTTCCCAAAAAATTAATCACTCCTAAAAATATAACCCTTTCAAATCAATATCGTTTACTTCGTTTGTACGTGAATTTCGTAGGACTAGAGGAGTAGCTTATGAAAAGGCAAATAGACCAAAACCTATCATTGGAAATGTGAAAAATGAATTTCTTATTATGGAATCAATCATAGAAAACCCTCATATGCGTCAACTTTAGATCGAGAAAGATACGGGAGAGTAAGCAGATGGAGCATTTCTAGGGCAATAAAAACATACAAGTTTCACCCGCACCGTAATCAGACTTCCATCGAATTCCATGAATTCTGGACAAGTTTACTGAGGATGAACATTTCTTGGATACCATTTTATTTTCTGATGACACAACTTCCATTATTCATATGAAGAAAACAAAAACGACTGAAAAGTTATATTTCAAGCGCCTTATTACTTCAAATAACTGTACCAAATTTCAACCAAATCGGTGTAAGGATATTCATGATATTTTATAAATACCGTTTTTTTTAAACGTCAACGCCCTGTATCTCAGAAACGAAGCAACTTCGGACATATGTTCATGAGAACTTTTTTTCTTGGAACGACCTAAAGAACCACTCTCTGAAGTTTCGTACTGTACTTAGAAAAAAAAATCATAACCCCCTTTCCTTTTATAGCGGTAATCAGTGCTTACCTTTAATTTCACCATTCCGTATTTTATCTAATCTTGACGAAAAAGCTTCCTCTAAATCTTCGATAGGTGCCTTGGGTTTCTCAGTTTTCTTAAGTGCTGCAAAATATGCTGTATTTCTCTTTCCTACCGGGCGCTCCACTAGATCATTCTTATCGTCGTTTATTCCTTGAAGTCTGAATAATTTCTTGATTATTTTTATAGAATCCTGTTCCAAAATTTTCTCCACTGTGAGATTTTTCATATTGTCCTTAGCAAGAGGATTGAGAGTTATTTCAGTGTTAGCCATTATTTGGGAGTAGGTTCCAAAGCGGTGAATAAACATAGCAAAAAACTGGATGATCATTACAACACCGAAACAGAACAGGAAGGCAAAACCTATAGGTTGCAGCTGAAGGTAGGTTTTATTGATGATGATCTGGAACAATAGAACATCGTTATTACACTGCATTGACATTGAGTTCAATAGAAGATTTGGATTATGAATACACTGCTCCATTGCTTGATAAAAATTAATGACACTATCAATAATTAAGCAATTTTGATGTGAAACATCTTAGCCGCACGTAAAACAGATTGCTGCCGTGGCGACGGGTCGCCATGCGCAAGTGACTGTGCGATTCTCTTACCAAGGGTTCGGCGTTAAGCTATCTTTCTCGCCGCACTGAGTTCGGATACCCATAGTGTAAACAGTTCTGTTTAATTCAGTATATTTAAAAACATTGGAATAATAATTGAGTTATTAAACTCAAGAAATAACAATAAATCAAAATCACTCGCCCGTTATGTGCATTTTCAACCTTCTCTTGAATTGACTTAGGTATCGGATTACAATCTTTGATACCCTGATCTAAACATTTCTGCATGATAAATAGATTTTTCAGTACACCTCTCATTTTTGGTTCCTACATGGATATTTCGGTTGATTCTGGTACTATAATTATGATAATTTTCATTCGGATATAGATGGTGATGCATTTTATATATGAGTACCATTGTTTGATAGTACACATAGTATTTTAATGACATCCATTTCAATTCTTTCAACATGTTGACCATTGGCGTGTCTCTTGGTACACCCAGTATGATTCTCATGGCTCTATTTTGTTGCTTTTGAAGTCGATCCAACTCGTTTTTATTAGCCGTAAATAGTATTGAAGAACAGAAAGTAAGATGATGTAAAACTAATGTATTATAAATTGTAATTTTTGACCATTGGTCAAAAATTGGTCAATCAATACTCCGAAATACTTCACCACTTTTGATATCCTCATTAGCAATCTTTGTACTAATTCCTCTATTTTTGATTTCGCATAACCTGTTTTATTACTCAGTAAGAAAAATTCCGCCTTTTCAATATTCAGTTTAAGAGTGTTGAGATTACACGATCGACTAACTCTGCAGAACTCACTATTCTAGCAGCTCATTAACGTTATAAGAACAGTAGGATATTGAGGTGTCATCTGCAAAAAAACTAGTTTTGCACTCTAGGAAACAAGGTCATTCATATACAGAAGGAAGACTAAGGGCCCAAGTGTACTACCCTGTGCCACTCTATTATCATTAATGATTTCAGAAGAGGTAATATTATTGACCTTTGTTAATTGTTTTCTATCACTCAAATAGTCTCTGAACCATTTCAGTACTGTGCGGCTTATTCCATATTATGCAATATAAATGTAAGGAGGCGTGTTGGAATACTGTACATTTATATCGTGCTCTCTTTGGAACGCTCCCGATCAGTTTGGTCAGTGACGATGAAAAACGTATATAGAAAAAGAGAAGAAGAATTAGAGTTAGTAATTATTATTGTTGTATCAAGAAAAGATGGCGAAATAAACGTTATTAGAATTATGAATATATGAGTTTATTAACAACTATCACAAACTAATTCATATTCAACATTTGGCAACTAACGCTAAATTTATTTCCACTATTTGAATTCCGTGTTTAACCGCTCGATTCACTTTCTGAATTGAACTGCCCTCTCTGGACGAGTAGCCGGCTTTTTATATCGCTAACGATCGTTCTAGAATTCTAAAGTCATTTCGATACCCAACTAGAGTTTAATCGGCTGTTCTCGATTGTATTCCTTTACGGTAACGTCATGTGTTTGTTCGCTGGCTAGCGTATCGGTCAGGGGCGACTTCAGATTTGTTATATTGCCCATTTCTCAAAGACGTTTCGCCCCGAAATGTCATCTTTGGCGTGTGTCGATACCTGCAGGACTCCCCATATCTGCACTGTGAAGTTCGATGGAAGTAACACTCCACAGTCTTCATGCTCGATCGTGGAAGATGGTTACCGCACACCAAAATCTTGATGCCGCTGGATCTAAATATCGTTTCCAACATGCTTCTCACAATTCTCCAATCCAGCCTGTCGAGCCCAGAGGCTAATTTCGGGATTACCAAGTCCACGAGATTCTGGTCGAGCATCGTGTCCCTCAGTATGGTAAGACTCCTCCAGACATCTACATAGGACGGTTTGTCTCGAGAATGCTTTTTGTTCACCAAGTAGAAACTGTTTCTCTGACCCTTCTTCAACTGTAGCACTCCTCCGACTTCAGGATTCCGTTCTCGTAATGTTTGGAGCTGACCGAATTTCTTGTTGAATGCTACAGCGATACACCTGGACATTAGGAGATCCTATACCACGCAGTGAGCTTGTGTGTAATCAACTGGAACCTTGAAAAGGTCTCGTGGCTCTTCTTGAGTTACCCCATGTACGACCTTCTGTCCGTTCGAGTATAAACACATGAAATTATGGAACGTCATTTCATCCTCTAGTGGTCTGAGGGCGTGAACTTGGTCGTGATTTCCAGCATGAGAAACCAGTCTATTAAAAAGGACGACCCTAGGCTTTCCTCGAGGTGGCTTATGAATTCGGTAGACGAGATCATTTATCTTCTTCATGATTTTGTACGGACCTTCCCACGAGTTCCGCAACTTCGGCTTCGCTTAGGGTTGTACAGCCAAACTAGGTCACTGGTTTCGAATCCTCCAGCATTCGTCTTGATATTATAGGCCTTCTTCATCCTATTGCTGGTACTTCAGATGGACTCGTTCAAGGATGTCGTTTATTCTCTGCCGAAGCTTGCTGACATAGGTCTCCCCGCAGTGTCATGATCTGGCGGCGTCCCAAATTTCAGATCGCAAGATAGCCGCAGCTCTCGGCCCATTATAATACTGGCAGGGGTTTGGCCGATTGACTCGTGCACTGCCGAACGATAGGCAGTGCACAGGAACAGGTGGAGGTACTGGTCCCAGTCTCTCTGATGGTCAGAGACTACCTTGGACAAGTGGCGATTTATGATCTTATTCATTCGTTCCACCATTCCATCGGACTGTGGATGTAAGGCTGTGGTTCTGTTCTTTCGAATGCCCAAAAGATTACATATTTCTTGGAACAGGTTGGATTCGAAATTTCTGCCCTCATCCGAATGCAGCTCCAATGGAAGCTGCATTCAGGACGACAGCGACGGTAAAGGCTTCCTGGTTGGGCAGGGCATAGGCTTCTGCTCACTTGCTGAAGTAGTCCATGGTTACCAGGATGTTGTCACCAAGGTCGGACTCTGGAAACAGGCCGGCGATGTCGATGGCTATTCTCTCAAAGGGACTTCCCACGTTATACTGGCGCATTGGAGCTTTTGGTCGTATCCGAGGTCCGTTACTGGCGGCACAAACATCACACTTTCTGCACCAGTCCTTGACGTGGGCTCGACAATTAACCCAGGATTGTTTTACAGCATCAAACTCGAAAGCTCTTACCAGTGCATCCACTAGATGTTTGGGACGAGCTAGTATCAAGGCCTGCCTCGTCACTTGGTCGCAAAGTCCGTCCAAGAATGCCTGAACTGCTAACCGCTCCATTACATTTTTCGGTGTAGCAGGATATGCCAGACGAACCAATCGAGCAATGTCGGCTTCAAATTCCTGTAGAGACTCTCCTACTCCCAAGGAGTTTTTTCGTCGAACTGGGGCGGCTCCATGGAGAGCTTTCCTGGTTCAGAACTTCTTTCATTGTCTTTTGAAGTTCTTCCATGTTAAAACTTAGTTCCGGAATTGAGTTTTCGGTAACAGTTTCTGTGGTGTGGGCAGAATTAACGATTTGGTTTTGCAACTTGCTAATTGTTTCCTTCATCTTGCTGATTTCTGCCTCAAATCCGCCTTTGATTTTATCGCCTATTTTTTTTCATTCTCTTCATTTCTGCCCCGATTTCATTTTTGATGTCCTCTTTGATTTCTTCTATTTCCGTATTCATTTCCTTCCTGATTTTGTCTATCTCTGACTCGATGGTTCCTATCCTTTCTTCGAGTAGACACGCCATGCAACAAAGTTCTATCTTTGAGCCTTCCGCATTTTCTAGAAATTTATCTTTCAAACTTTTCGAATTTTGTTCAAGTTCATCTTTCAGTGATTTGGTATTCTCATCGAGTTTGCTCATTATTGAACTCAAATCACCTCCAGAAACTTCGAATGAATATTTCGGGATCTTCTCTTGATTCAGTCAAGTTATCCCACAGTCTCTTCTGGAGTACTGGTTTCTTTCCAGAATAATCTACCTCTCTCTCCTCCAATTCTTGCTTCAATTCGGCAACTTTCAAGTCCACTAGGCGCACTTTCCTCGAACACATTTTGTCTGTTATTGTCTATTTTCCACAAAACTGTATATGCCAACTTATTTTCATCCAGTCCTAAATACTTATTTACTTTCACAAGTCTATTTTTCACGTTTAGTTTCACGTCAAGTTTATGTTTCCGTAGTCCGGTACTGTCCACTTCGCGAAACACAAGGAATCAACAGTCTCTCTGCGCGAACAAATAAGTCATAGTCAATTTCACCGCAGTACAAAAATTGTCCGCCAAGCGCTCACAGATTTATTTTATAAATCCACTTCTAATCACCAATTATAACAAATTAAAGAATTAATTTTTTTCGTCGAAATACCAAAAAAGTGAAATCTACAGAGCACAACCATCATTTTTGTTGCGTTTCCCTAAAATAAAATAAAACGGATGTTTCGTTTTTGTCTGGTTGCCCAATATTGATTCGTCTCAAAGCATAATGGAACAAAGTGTATTTAAATTGAGAAATAAATAGACAGTATATGTTAATTCAAAAATACCTCATTTCGGTCGTTATTGTACGTGAAGTTGACTTTGGCGTTGATCGGCCAATCCAAATGAATGGTGTCTTGCTGCATATTGAGAAGAAATATCACAAGCACAAAAATGCAATTGAGCATGAAAAATGTCACCACCATTTTGTCCCTCAGATCCTTGAGATTTTTAGCTACCTCGTCCTGAAATAAAATATATAAAGTTTAATAATTATTTACAGACAGACGAAGCATATGTAGGCAGTGCCGAAGTTTTCAACCGTTACAATTCTTATACAAGGGCACAACAAAATCCTCATTCTATTGTGGAGCAGAGAAGTCAAGGAAGATTTGGATGTAGTGTGTGGGCAGGTGTTTTGAGGGGTAGAATTATCGGCCCGTTCATTCATCATGGCACTTTCACATCTCAGAGGTTTTTAGAAATTTCTAGACAAAGTATTGAACCCCTTGTTGATGAATTGCCACTAATGAAGCTCAGAAAAAATATTTTCAACAAAACCTCATCAACACTGCAATTGTCACCAATTTTTTGGCTGCAAAACCGTTGGTCGTCCAGGTCACCGCACCTAACGCCTTTGGACTTTTATCTCTAAGGAAGGTTGAAAGATCTTATTTTCAAATTGCCAACCAATTCTAGATACGGATTGAAAGCGGCAGTTATGCGAAGTTTTGCTTCTTTCACTCCTATTGAACTGAATAATTCGGCAAAAAACGTTCAGAATACAGTAGAACGGATTATTTCATAATAATGCTCTTATAACACCGCAGCGACTTTTTGAGGTTAAGTGGAAGAGCAATTAATAACGATTTATCGTTATAAAAATTGAACTTCGCCTTTTGTTTCCAACTTATTCATATTTTGTCCATACTGTTCATTAAATGTTGAACCTTATTAGTTGTAAACAATAAAGACATTTATTATTGTTATTATATTGTTAATCAACAGTGAGAGGACCATAATTCTGGAAATCAGCCTACGGACTTCAAACAAACTTCGAATATTTCACAGTGAAATACTCACTTTTTTATCTGAATCATCTATAGGTTCTAGATACTGCTTTATGAATTTTTCCCAAAAGGTCTCCTCTTTTCGATCCAAGAAGTGTACGGGGCTCTTTTCGAGTTCGCCCTCATAAAACCAAATATTTTGGGGAACAACATCCGAAGGAGCAGTGATAGAATCTTTATCTTTATCGTTTTCATTGTTTACCCTAAAATAAAAATACAAATTTTCATATGGAATCATGTGTTCACTAGTAATTCTCTTTGCTGATGAAAATCAATTCCTTACAAGAAATGTTCCAATGCCATTTCAACGATCAACTGGCCTCCCCTTCAAAATTATTAAATCATGCAAGAGGTTTGTTTGGGGAATATTACAAATATTCTGAACTGAATTGTATTGATTTTCATTCCCTGATTATTTAAAAATAACATTAATTCCAAACGGAGACGAAAACTATACAAACAGTGTCAGGAATCACACGTTAAAAGGTAAGACCTCGTTAGTCCTTAGCTCGTACAAGTTTCGACTAATTAACAGAAAAACCCATTTTTGAAAACAGATGTAAAGGCACCCCCAAACTTGGAAAACAGGTGTTTTTTTCGTAGCATCCAAAAATAATAGAATGGTGTATGGTTCCCATTTGAAAAAATCGTGTTTCATCAGTTTTCTCGATGTTATGTTTTAGGTGGAAATTTCGACCACCCTGTAAATTATTTTCAAAAATTCAATGGACCTGTTCATGACTCGATGCTTAAGATGTGATTCTGTGAAAGTTCACATTTTCAACTGTTACTGTCTATGAATTATGATTTTTTCGGAGTGGTGCTGTAACTGTCAAATATTTCAGAAAAAAATTAATACCTCGAAAATTAACAAATTTGGGTATAGGCATTGTTATACAAAGTGGACCTAAAATGTGCTAAGAAATTCAAAAATGCAATAAAATACAGGGTGTTCCATTTGAAATAAGGAAGTTTGCCTCAACTTCCGGTATAACGGAAAGAGACCGAAAGTTAAAAATATTTCAGTTGAGAAGGCCATTTCGTAAAATCCACTACCACAAAATTTCAAGTTTTTATTTTGAATCGTTTTCCATATATTCCTAACGAACGCTCGTCGTGAAAGAC